AATCTGAGCGGGAATCCGGGGTTCCCATTTCGACTTGCCTTTCCCCTCCTGATACGGACTGAACCAATGGCCTTTCGGACGATGTTGCCACTTTCCCTTGCTACCTCCTTTCTGGTCGTGGCTCTTACCTCCACCAGGCTTGTCATGACTCGAAGCACGATCTTTGGGTTCCGGCTTGAACTTCAATGGCAATGGGATCAAAGAGAACGAAACTTCATACGAAGTGAGAGCTGCCATCAACTGCTGGTCTAATGGTCTCGTCCCAGTGGCATCTCTCTTTGGCTTTACGTTCAACTCAATCAACCTCCTCCATGCCTCCTTGTCTGCGTTCACCAATTGGGAGACTGTGCACCGTTGGTAACCAGGAGGCGGCTCTCGGTGCAGATGAGCAAAGAGTGCTTGCACATATTTGTCATGCTCCAAAAATCCCATGCAATCACCAAACTCCAAAGCGATGCCCCTACGCTTCAAGGCCTCTAAGACCTGCAAAGAAGTGTGAGCCGGCGCCTCAATCTTCTCGTCCTTGTCTTTGATGATGATCTTGTTCGCCTCGATGTCAAGCATACGGTCAGGGGCCTTCAAGTTCGTGAGTTCATGAACCCTTGACACACAACGCTCAGGAGGCAAGTACTTCAATTGATTCTTATCAACCATACTCATCACGGAGTCTAACAATGTGTGCCCGGGCTCCATCTGACCGCTGATCAAGACTCCTGCCAAGCGCTGCTGCAACAAGTTCATGCGCGACTCTCTCTCTGCTTGTGGGATCTTTCGTGTGGTCGTCTCCGGCGCCGTAACCTGATCTCGTAGGATAGCAAGAAGTTGAGTCTGACTCTCAAAGACCAATCTTCTCAAATTTGCCACGCCTCCCAAAGAAGCCCTTGGCTCAAGTGTCCGGGCCCATGTAGCAAAGGCTTCATGATCAATCGCCTGGCCAGGATGCCCGAAGCTATATGCCAAGGTCGCCAAGGACGTGATGCCATTTCCTTTCAATGCATCACGGAGGTTATCAGGAATTTTGCATTCAGCGATTCTGAGGTCAAACTGAGCTTCGCTATCGAGGAGAAGAGCCATCAAAATCACAGTCCTATGGGAAAAGTCAGAGCACTAGTCCTGGAAAGAATTCAACTGACAGTGAAGCAATGAAGAGTTTGCTTCCCAACTATTGTTTTTATTCACGTTTGTGGAGGCATAAACAATTCGATGGCCACTGAGCCCGGGCCATCGAATTCTTTGGACTGTTGCCGTCAGGTTTTCGGAAGAAGTTCATGGGTTCATGTGAGGGACTAGTTCTAGTCATAATCATGACATGAACACCACTACACACACACATCTCTTGAGCCTAAGCACGCATGGCCGACTCTCAGGAAATTTGGGAGTCGCATGCCCCTATAGTCAACTCTCTCACTGCTACACCGCAAGCCTACACCGGCTTAATCTCATCACAACACAGCTTCACTGCACTGCCACGCATGGGCGACCTCTTTTTAACACATCCACATCGGTTCATAAGGCCTGCATAGGCCGGTCATGAAGGCTTCCTCTTCAAGCACATTTTGCACATCACGTTCCAAGCAGTTGCTTCGGTGGACAAGGAATATGCCTCTGTCAATCGTTTCCCGCATGCCAAGTAACGATAGGTGAAGCCATCTGCATTCTCAGTGAAGAGGTGGAGGATATGAGATTTCCTGTGGGCATACCATGTCTCGTCCCGCGGCACCTTCGGTCGGAACCTCTTCACCTTCATGGGTGGCTCCTCGCAACGCGAGGAATCTGCTGAAGAACCTGCATCACTGGATGAACTCTCTGAGCTGGAGTCATCATCAATGACTATTAGCTCAGGCTCCCCACAACCCTCGTCGCAACCTCCGTCTGACTCAACAGTCTCCGCCTTAGTGTTCAAGCGACCCTCAAGCACCGGCACAACGGGACCTCCGCTCTCTGGCTCAAGCACCGGATCCCTCCTGGTGAAATAGGCGCTGCGGGGAGCATCCGGATTGAAGTTCCCTTTGAAGATCTCGTCAATGACTTCCTGCAATTCGCGGGTCGGGGCCACACACAAATCCCTAGAGTAAAAGGCGTATGTGCCAGTTGTGGCACTAGCATGCCTTCCAAGGATTGATCGAGTCTGCTCTGATAGACCATACTTTGCAGCCCACGACAACAAAGTTGCTTTGGCCGAATGCGAAGACACGACAGGCATCGAATCGGCCGGCTGAACTGCGGTCGCACCTATAAGCATTCTCAAGAACGTGGATGCTTCACTCGACGT